ATATTGTAGCTGCCTGAAGCAGTGATGTCAGTTGGAACAAATGGGAGGCTAGACAAAAAACTTAAAAGGAAGATCTGGGGAATGAGATGTCCATAGTGATTTTTGAAATGCTCAAATATATTCCTGGGGATCTAGAAAGTCACATACATGTGTAGGGCTGTGTGCATTTTTAAAGAAGACTTAAGATGACCCTAATGTTTACCTATGACTGTATTTGAGGTCCTGCAAGAAGTAGAAAATGAAGACTAAGGCGGAGTTATAAACTGCTGGAGCACAAAACAGAGAGCTCCTCAGCAGAGAATGGGTAACTTAGTTAAAGGCATTTAAGGAAATTTCTGTGCAATCATGATCTGACCACTAAAGCTAACCAAGCAGAGACTTCAGTAACTACACATCACGGGTGATATAGACTTCACAGAATTAGTGAAAAAGAGTCATTAAAAAAATTAAGAGCGACATACATTCTGGGAAACATGGCGGAGTGAGAGACGTCCTCAGATCTCTCGCCTTGAAACAACAATAAGCTGAACATCTAAAACTCAACAAAAAACACCCAAACTGCACACCAGCATGTCTGAGCATGGGATCTGCGCATAATAGCTAGCACAAGACAGAGTCCCGGGTGTCGGGAGTGGCCTGGGAGAAATCAAGAAGCTGCCTCTTGTAGCCGCCTGAGCTCCCCGCAGGAGGAGGGGGAAGGGTGAAGGTGCGACAAGTTCCCTGAACAGCCCAGCTTGGGCAAGCTATGTATGAGCTTTCCGCGGCTGGCCAGTGTCAGGGCCCAGTCATCAGGGCAGAAGGCAGAGAAGCAGGACGGGACTGCAGAGAAACAACAGAACTAAAGAGCGAAAAGACCAAAACACTATCATAGTAGGGGACTTAAATATCCCACTGTCGGACATGGATAAATCATCCAAACAGAAAATCAATAAAGAAATAACATCCTTAAATGACACATTAGACCAAGTGGTCATAATTGACATTTACAGAGCCTTTCATCCCAAAACAGCTGCTTATACATTCTTTACCAGTGCACATGGAACATTCTCGAGAATCCACCACATACTGGGACACAGAGATAGCCTTAACAAATATAAGAGGGACGAAATCATACCATCCATATTCTCTGATCATAAAGCTTTGAAACTAGATATCAACTGCAAAAAGAAAGCAGGAAGAACCACAAATACATGGGAATTAAACAACATGCTATTGAAGAATAACTGGGTCAGAGAAGAAATAAAAAGAGACATCAAGAGATACATAGAAATGAATGATAATGATAGTACAACATATCAAAACTTTTGGGACATGGCAAAAGCAGTCATAAGAGGAAAGTTCATATCATTACAAGCCTATCTCCAAAAACAAGAACAAGCCCAAATAAACAATCTAAAAAACTAGAAAAGGAAGAACAATCGAGGCCTAAAGTCAGCAGAAGGAAAGAAATTATCAAAATTAGAGCAGAAATAAAGGAAACTGAAAACAAAAACAACAACAACAAAAAAAAACAAAGAAAAAATAAAGACAACAAAGAGCTGGTTCTTTGAGAAGGTTAATAAAATCAACAAAACCCCTGAGTAGACTCACTAAAGGAAAAGAGAAACAACACAAATAAACAAAATCAAGAATGAAAGAGGGGGAAATTATGACTGATATCGCAGATATACAAAGGATCATGCAAGAATACTATGAAAAACTATATAATACCAAATTTAATAACTTAGAAGAAATGGATTAGTACTTAGAAAAATACAATCTTCCTAGACTGAATCAAGAAGAACTGTAAAATCTAAATAGACCAATCAGCAATATAGAAATTAAAACAATCATCAAAAATCTGCCAAAAAGTAAAAGTCCATGAACAGATGGCTTCACCAGTGAATTCTACCAAACATTCAAAGAATATTTAATATCTGTTCACCTCAAACTCTTCCCCCCAAAAATCAAAGAAGAGACAATACTTCCCAAGTCATTTAATAAGGCCGATATTGATCTGATATCAAAATCTAGTAAGGATAACACACAAAAAAGGAAACTATGGACCAATATCTCTCATGAACACAGATGTACAATTCTTAAATAAGATACTAGCAAACCAAATGCAGCAACATATTAAAAAGATTATATGCCACGATCAAGTGGACTTCACCTTAGGGTCACGGCAATGGTTCAACATACACAAATCGATTAATGTGATACACCACATGAACATATTCAAAAATAAGAATCATATGATCATATCAATAGATGCAGAAAAAGCCTTCGACAAGATACAGCATCCATTTATGATCAAAACACTTAACAAAATCGGTATAGAAGGAAAGTACCTTAACATAATAAAGGCCATATATGACAAACTCTCAGCCAACATTATACTTCATGGTGAAAAAATAAAAACTTTCCCTCTAAGATCAGGAACAAGGCAAGGCTCTCCACTATTGCCACTGTTATTCAATATAACATTGGAGGTCCTAGCAAGTGCAATCAGACAAGAGAAAGACACAAAAGGCATCCAAATAGGATATGAAGTCAATTTGTCACTATTTGTGGATGACGTAATTCTCTCTATAAAAATTCTAAAGACTCCACAAGAACTGTACTAGAAACAATAAGCAAATACAGTAAAGTATCTGGATACAAAATCACTGTTCAAAAATCCATAGCATTCCTATACTCTAATAACTAAGTGCCAGAAAAAGAAATGGAAAAAATAATTCCTTTTGCAATTGCAACAAAAAGAATTAAATACCTAGAAATAAATTTAACAAAAATGTGAAGGACCTATATTATGAAAACTACAAGACCCTTTTGTAGGGTCTTGTAGTTTTATAAGACCCTACAAATAGATGTCAAATTATAATGTACACCTGAAAATTATATAATTATATAAACCAATGTTACTCTAATAAACTTAATTAAAAAAAAAAAACCCAGCAGTATCAGCAGCAAGAACAGTCACAAGAAGGAGCAATAACAACTAAACCTGGAAAAGTGGGGGAAATTTAATTTCCAAAGTTGCCACATTATATTATTTAAAATGTCCAGTTTTAAGTACAAAAGAAATGTGACATACAAAGGAACATAAAAGTATGGGAACAAACCATCAGTCTATAGATTGTCCATAAATTAGTGGATGAATAAACAAAATGTTGTATATCCATACAATGGAATATTATTTGAAATAAAAAGGAATAAAGTACTCACATGTGCTACTACATGGTTGAATTGTTCATGGATGAACATTATGCTAAGTGAAAGAAGCCAGCCACAGAGGCCACAGATTATATAATTCCATTTACTATGAAATGTCTAGAATAGGCAAAATTCATAGGCACAGGAAGTAGATAAGTGGTTGCCAGGGGTTGAAAGAAAGGTGAAGTAGGAAGTGACTGCTCATTGGTATGGGATTTCTTTCTCAGTGATGAAAATATTCTAAAATTTGTTAGTGGTGAAGGTTGCACAATTATGTGAATAAACTAAAAAGTATCGAATTGCTCACTTTTAAAAGGATGAATTTTATGGTATATGAATTATATTTTAATCAAGTTGTTACAAAACAAACAAAGTGATAATTAGAAAGTTTATTTCCATCACTGGGTTGTGGTCTCTCTGAGGGCAGGAAAGAAATATTGCTAACCTGAGTCACCCCAAAGGCTGGTACAATACCAAGAGAGATTTTCATACTCCCTTTCTTTTTATTAAGCATAATCTGCCAAATATACACATGTGAAAATCATTCAAAAAAGACATCTATTTTGGATATAATTTTGTTTTGGCAAAGTAATGTTTATTATACTTATGTTATAACATATCCTATTGTTCTCTAATATTCGATTTGGTTGATTTGCACTAAGGTGGCTTTTGAAAAGAAAAGGAATATGGATGTGGTCTTATTCTGTGTTATTGTAGAGTTCAGAAAGTCCTAAATTTGAATGCAGTGGTTCCCAACCCTCTCAGTGTATTATAGTCTCCTGGAGAACTTTTCAAAATATCTGTGCCTAGTTCTCACCCCCAATTCTGAGTCAATTAGTTGAGAACCACCGTTCAGTAGAGGTAGGTATCAATAGAAAGTCCTATTTGTGGTGTGATTATTACGAGCAGTTCAGAGAGTCTGTTGCAGATCAGTGGTTTTCCAACTTTAATGTGCACAGTAATCCACTGAAGATAAAATGCAGATCCTGCATCAACAGACCTGAGATGGCACCCTGAGATCCTGCCTACTAAACTGCCCAGCTGATGATCCCAAAACCACATTTTCGGTGGTAAGGGTTGTATATGTTTTAAAATATGCAGGAGTGGAAGCATGGTTAGTAAGAAGAATATAAAATAAAGCTGTTACATTATTAGACGAAGGGATTAATGAAGTGTAGGAAGCAGGTAATTTCTTAGACCTTAACTTTCATCTGATGAGACTATTCCATTGATTTGATTATCATTTAATGATTGGTCCGACCAGTTTAGACTGATCTCACATTTTTCTAGCAAAGTTCTTTTCACCTCATCCACAGGACATACAAAATCAGATTGTTACAGAGTTGTATAGTTTCTTTAGATATTGTCCTGAATGTCAAGAATGATAGAATTTAGTGAGGAAATATTAATAACATGTTTGTTTTATTTAAATGAATACTATTGACACTTTTGTGCTAAGTACTATGTTGGGTTCTAGAATTACAGAAGTTAATAACACATAGTTTTTACTCTTAAATAATTCACGATCTAATAAGATTGGGAGGCACGTGGAGACAGATTTGTGAATAGCTAACAGTAATACAAGAAAGAATGAAGGACACATCGAATATAAGTACAAGTAATGTGCTATGGAAAAGAATTAATTCCGCCTGGGGAAAGGCTTCATTAATGACCTGGCATTTAGGACATTAAAATGCCTCCTTCAAAAAGTTCACACTGACTTTCCAGTTTCTCAGCTCTTCACTGATAGGAGGCTCAGAGTCTGAACTTATGTGAGAATAACTCACTAACATCACAGATCAATTTTAGGAACCTCCTAGAACTTTCTTCAAGGCAGTCTTCATTTCTTTATTCCGAAGGCTGTAGATCATGGGGTTGAAAAAAGGGGTCAAAACTGAGTAGAACAAAGTTGTGAACTTCTGCATGCCTTCTGCTTGCCCTGACCCTGGGCTCACATATGTCATCATGACAGAACCATAGAATAGTAAGACAACGGCCAGATGTGAGGAGCAGGTGGAGAAGGCCTTCTTCCGGCCAGCAACTGAGGGCACCTGCATTACGGCCTTCAGCACCAGGGTGTAGGAGCCAATAATGTAGAAAAAGGTGGCAAAAATGAGGAGAGAGCTCATGGTGCTACATATGAGAACAGTCCCAGGAATTGGAACACAGGCCGAAGCCAGGGCCAGCAGAGGACCCAGGTCACACAGAAAGTCATCAATCACATTTGGGCCACAAAATGGTAGCTGGGTAACAAGTATCACTGGGATCAGAAACCAGAGGAAACCATACACCCAGCAGAAGATGACCAGGCTACTGCAGAACTTAATAGTCATGATGGTAGGGTAGTGCAGGGGGCGGCAGATTGCCAGGAACCGGTCATAGGCCATGATGGAGAGAAATAAGCATTCGGTTGTGCCCAATGAGAAGAAGAAGTACAACTGGAGCAGGCACTGAGCAAAGGAGATGGTTTTTGTCTGGGAGAGGAAGTTGGCCAGCATGTTGGGCACATCAGAGTTGACATAGCAGATCTCCAGGAAGGAGAAGTTGGCCAGCAGAATGTACATTGGGCTGTGGAGCTGGCGGTCCCAGCGCACCGCACACACGATGGCCATGTTTCCAAGGAGGGTCAGGATGTAAGTCACAAAGAATATGGAAAAAAAGAAGATTTTTATTTCCCAGCGGCAAGGGAAGCCCAAGAGGATGAACTCACTCACAGTGTAGGAAATATTTCTGGCCTCTGAGGTCATTTCCTTCCATCCTGTGAGGATTGCAGCAGAAATTACATATTCAAAGAAAATTATGCCTTCTGAGTCCTCCCTAGGAGAGTGAACACATTTTCCTGCTTGAAGGGGAGGGGATCTAGAGCAGTAGTTTCAATTTTTGATTGGGTACCCCAACAATACAGTTGTCGAATATACTCTTTTATACATGACTATTTAAACAATATACAAACCACAGTCAATTAATGTAGTAAATATTGGTGAAGATTTTGAAAAAAAAGCTTTCTTAGAATTAAAATAATAATAGAAATTCAGCTATCTCCTTTCTGCATCCCTCATTGCATTGCCTGGTGAACCCAACTTTGGAGACCATTGGTGTACACAATACAGATAGGTGGCTGGCTAAAGCTAAGTGGAGATACAAACTTTGACATGGGCAATTCAATCATAAAAAAGTTAGAATTGGTTGATTTACTGTAATATCAGTTAAGTGATATAAAAGAGAGAACATGAGGCTTTGAAGCCAGATGTGAAATAACCACAGAGTGACTTTAAGCAAGGTATAGTTGAGCTACATTAACTGACTGACCATCAATAGGCCACTATTTGTATCTATTCTCTCTCTGTGGAATGGTGCAGTACATAAACTCCAGGCTTTGATATTATCAGAATCATATGAGGAAGGCTTTGAAAGATGTAGATTTCTGGGTTCCAGCTCAGGTTTGGAACTGTGGCAGAACATGGGCTTTGGGAATTACAGATCTTGGCTCCACCACTTTCTGAAGAGTATTTACTCAGGGAAGGATTTAACCTCTAAAACAGTGTGTAAAATATGAATAATAATACCTCTATAGCAAGGATGACATGAGAATTGCATGAAATAATGTATGCAAAAGCCATTTACAAATTATGAAATGCTAAAGAAATATAAGCTATTAGAAACTGTTTGGAAATTATTATGCTAGATGTTACACTCCCTTGTTAATCTTTATAAATTAAACTGACTTCAAAATGCCAAAGGGGGGGAGTGGGGAGGGGAGAGGTAGATGGGATAAAAAGGGCCAAATATCTGGTGACAGAAAGAAATCTAACTATGGGAGATGAACACACAGCGTAAATATATATATGCCTTACTGTTAAAACACACAGCTGAAATGGATTTCGTTAACCAATGCACCATAAAAAATTAAAACAAACAAACAAACAAACAAAAAATGCCAAAGAATATTTTTGCCTATGGAATTTTAGCCACATGATAGGGTAAGTATGTGTGCTTGTGTGTGTGTGTGTGTGTGTGTGTGTGTGTGTGTACCTGTGTGTGTATGAATAGGAGAGCACTCCTCAGTCCTCTCAGACCACAGCAGGTACAACTCCTTAATAAGTTTCCTTTTAAGACCATTTTTTGCCTATTGAACATACCAGAGCGCTCATTTTCTTCTTTATAGACTGTCTTCCCTGGTAGGGATACCATTACAGTCATAAATGATAGGATAATTTTCCTAACACTGTAGTTTGAATTAAGGTCACCTAGTTTTGTTTCTACAAACTTTTCTGGGTGATCCCTTCCCACGCTGCTCCCGACTCCCGCATCTGTTCACCTGTGGGATTTCCTGGGAAATGAGGATCAGACTGCATTCAAATGACCATAACAGAGAAGCACCAACAAATACTATTTTAAAACAGGCAACCTTATGGAAATCAAGTTTTTGGTGAAAACTTTCTCTCTGGTATTCTTTGATTTTGTGTTTTTTTGTTTTTTGTTTTTGTTTTGTTTTGTTTTGTTTTTGCCTCAGAGAAAGCCTGGCTATTTTTTGAATCAAGGGGATAGAAAAAAAGCTTATCTAAATTTTAGGCCTTGACTTAGGCAAAGTTCAACCCAGAAGTTTACCATATAGGTCTATTAACTCTGTTTCACCAATTTTTTCATTTTAGAAGCTTAGAGTTCAAATTCTCTTTTTACCTTTTCTTAACAATGCCAGTTCTCTGGGAAAAAATAATTAAATAAACTCATGCATAAACATAAACTCAACATCTGTGAAGATTTTAGCAGTTTTCATTATGTACACATGAGCATGTGACCAGATGTCGCACACACCAAATTCATTGGAGCAGCATTTACTGGGGGGAAACTTGTAGACCTGGGTGAATCACAGGCATGTGTCTCTTTTGCTCATTGTAATTACAATGGCACACGGAAATCTAAGATATTCCATTCCAAGAGAGCATGCCAACCTTTGAACTGTGACTTTTTCTTAAGCTCTGAGTTTGTGGCTGGGAGAAAGGGGTATCAGCTCTTCTGGTGTGATTAGAGGCTATGGTTTGCAGATGCAATTGTAGAAAATGACAAGCTAATACCAGGATTCTTTACATTGGCCATGTGATAGAGAAAGTAATGATCGTAAGCACTGGGCAACAGCTGCTTCATGTCCGTGGAGGTTCACAGGAGGCAGTTTGAAAAGGATTAGTTTTGAACAAGTTAATCGTATGTTTAACATGTATTTTTTTAGAGGGACTTTCTTAAGTTACTCTATAAGGGAGCCATAGCAAGGATTATTGCTTCTGTTTCATATATGAGGAGATAAAGACGAAGTTAAATGCTTGAAGTCCCAAACCAGTAAGTGACAGGGTCAGAATAAGAGTCCATGCTTTTTGGCTCCTAATTTACTGTTTGTTTGTTTGTTTTTCACCATTTTAGGAGCCCGCCAGCATAAATGTATCAAAAATGTCACCCATATCATGGAAAAAATGAATCGGATTAATAAAATGAGTAACTGTTGGTGCTATAGACATCACCACATCATCTGAGGACAAGGTGGTATGTTCTTCTCAGAAGCCCTCAAATCATACCTTTTAGGTAGAATTATGTTTTTTCCTCTTTTTAAAAAATTTTATAAGGCTTTATTATTATTTCTTTTGTAATAAGAATAGTTAAAAGGCACTAAAATACCATACAACACAGTTCAACTTCAGAAGCTGAATTTAATGTGTCACCAAATGTGGCCATAAATAGCATCAACTGGACATTGAAAATGAGATGTTATTTCATGGCAGTAGTTTAAAAAAAAAAAGAGGTGATCTCTATCAAGTAAACTGAAGTGAGGTCAGAGCAGATAGTTATTTGTAGAGTTATTTTACTTTTACCTGACTTTTGTGATCTGCAATATTTAGCTCTGCAAGTTATCCATAACCTGAAGCAGATCACCTCTCATTCATTTATACAAAATAAATATAAATAATTAACATAAAGAAGTAAAATGAAAAGAAATTAAAAAAAAAAGAGGGAATACTAAGAAGCAATGATAGACACTGAGGAGATATGTAAAGGAGATAGAGGAAATCTTTTTTTTTTTTTTGCATTTCGGGGTGTTATATAATTCTATTTGTTGGAACATGTAATTTATTTTATCCCATTTCTACCACTGCCTGCCTGAGACTCTATTTTCCAGCTATTTTTGTAGCACGAAGCACAATTGATTCAGTGTACTCTAGGAACTTACTTAAGGGAATAGCTGAATTCTGTTCCATGTTCACCTGTTTCCACTTGTACTCTGGAGGAAATAAACAAAAACAAAACTGTCAAGTCTAGCCTTTTATATTTTGGAATAATGTATTGCTTATATTCACTGGCCTCAGAGATACCATGGATTAGAATGAGATCTACAAAATCACATTTTCTTATTGATCTGAACTCACCAAATCTTGGAGCAGGAAGAGACTTTAAGGGTTCTATAGCCTCCTCTCCTTCTACCAGCAGTAAGGGCCTCTCTCTTTTACCTTCTTGCTAGTTGGTGATCTAGCTTCTGCTGGAATAATTCATTTTTAGAAGCTGTGATAAACTTCCTTGTTCTCTCTTACATTCTTAGGTAACTTTGCCATCTTGATTTATCCTCTTGGTCTTATTTCTCCCTCGGGGAAGGGAGGTTAACACTTTTTATGTGCCCATCATACGCACATACTCTGTTAGGATTTTGAACATGCATTATCCTTCTTATTCTTCCAACAATTATGGAAGTGATCATTGAGTCATGGGTAGGCAGTAAGTGGCAGTGCTGGGCAGATCTGTGCTCTTTCAACTACATTATCTCAGAATAGGTCTACACAGCAACACTTAAAAATATTTGAGGAAGGTACTCATGTGTTCTTTGAAACTTCTTGATATACACTAAGCATTCTTGGTTTCTTCAACTGAATATGACATCATTTCCAGAGTGCTCATCATCCTGGTTGCCTTCTTTTGATTCTTCATACCTTTCTGAGGATGCGATCTTACTAAAACTGAACACAATACTCCTCATACTGTGTGACTCAGAGCACAGTGGTACTATAGTAATCTCTCTTGCTCTAGAAACTCATGCACTTAAATTGACATTAGCTTATTTAGGCAATGACTTTATACTTTTGATTTTTATTGAGTTTTAATTTTATCAAAGCCCTTTGAGTTCGTTCACAAGAATTTCTTTAAAACCAGATTGGCCCCATTTGATGCTTGTGTCATTGAGATTTTAAAGCGAGGGAGGTTAATTACTGAATTTCATTAATTATTTTAGTCTATTAAGATCTTAAGACTTTCAAATATTAGCTTTCATTTCTATTTTTATTGCCTATAAATTTGATAAAATTTCTTGTGAGTTTCACCTGTGTCTTTAATTAAAATGTTATATAGAACATCAGAAAATGCTTTTTCAGATCACTCAAAACTTTTTCTAGGTTACTATTTATTATTACAAACAATTGTAGATAGATGGCTAAGCTAAAAATAGATAATACAAAAGTGGTGAAAATGACCTTGCATCTCTGGAAAACATTCTGGCATATATTATTAAACAGATGGTTTATTAAAAAATTTTGAAGCAACTTTTGGACTTTAAACTGGTAGCTTTGTTCAATTTTATTAAAAAAAATTTTTTTCATTCTTCAGAATTCTTTAAAGACACCATTAGGGTGTTTTTTTTTTTAGGATATTTTTTGAGTTTTTTAAAAATAAGTTTATTTATTTAAATTAGTTTCAAGTATACAATACATTGGTTAGACATCTATATTGTTCATAAAATGATTCCCCCAATTGCTCCCTCCCTCCTCTGGCCCTCCACTTAGCCATCATATTAATGCTAACTACATTCCCTGTGCTGTGCTCCCCATCTTCATGGCCAACTATCAACTACTAATTTGTACTTCTTTAATCCTTCATCCCATTCTCCTAGCCCCCCAACCCCCCTCCCTTCTGTCTGTCACCAAATTATCCACTATATTTGTGAGTTTGTTTTTGATTAGTTTGTTCTTTTTTTCCTTAGATTCCACATATAAGTGAAATCATATGGTATTTATCTTTCTCTGTCTGACTTATTTCACTCAGCATAATAACCTCTAGGTCCATCCATGTCATTGCAAATGGTAGGATTTCATTTTTTTTAATGGCTGAGTAATATTCCATTGTATATATGAACCATAAGTTCTTTATCCAATCATCGTTAATGGGCATTTAGGTTTCTTCCATATCTTGGCTATTGTAAATTGTGCTGCCATTCATAGTGGAGTGCATAGATCTTTACGAATTATTGTTTTGGTTTTCTTTGGATAAATACCCAGAAATGCAATTGCTGGGTCAAAAGGTATATCCATTTTTAATTTTTTGAGAAACCTCCATACAGTTTTCTATAACGGCTGTACCAATTTGCAATCCCACCAACAATGTATGAGGGTTCCCTTTTCTCCGCATCTTCGCCAACACTTGCTGTTTTTTGATTTATTGATGATACCCTTTCTGACAGGCATTTTTGATTTATTGATGATACCCTTTCTGACAGGGGTTTTGAAATCACATCTGTACTATTTTTTGCACCCTGGGATATAATTTGCCTAGGTCTAAGAACGAAAGCTTATTTAAAATAATTGAGTGCTGTTTTACTTCATTTTTATGTCAATTCTATTTTATACATTTGTCTTCCTTTTGGAAAGGAGATCATCCTTTGGAGCTGTCCATACTCTAAATTAGATTGATGGGTCCCATGCGTTTTTCTGTCCAGAGGCCCAGTCTTTTCCTTTCATTTCATAAACCTTGCAAGCAAGGAGAGCCTCCCATCACAATACTATCAGTTGATATTGGAAGGACTTTGTTTAGGTATTAATATAGTGAAAAGCTCACTAAATTTCTTAGAGAAACTCATTCTTTCGTTATAAATGCTTTATTTCATTAGTCTCTTTGTATGTTTCTGTCTATCTTTTTCTCTCCATTGATTTTTTTCCCTTACTTCTAAAATGACAATATGACTTGGGATTTCTGACCTTGGACAATTTAAGAACTAGTTACAATACTACTCATTTTATATAGTTTTAGTACTTGTATAAATAAAGAACAATATGTCATAACTTTTTTTTTCAGTAAAATATTTAAAAATAACAGCATTAACTTTTTGGTTGCTGTCCATCTTGAAATATAGTTCATTTTCTATTAACTTTCACTTGATAGGTGAAAGTTAATTTTCTATTAACTTTCACATGATAGGTACAATCTTTTTTAAGTTATCTTCTAAACTTCATTTGGCTTTAGAGCTGATTACTGGCTTAAGCCATTTTAAAAACTCAATGAAAGTTTACAGAGTGCCTACTGTATTCTTGTATACTTTTCAATGCAAGGGATGTTTTAGAACATATATTCTTAAATGGTAAAATGTCTTAACAATCAGAAATATTCTTTTCAATTAAAATTAAGGGGCATTTTAAGAAATGCATATGAAATTTCAGTGTAAATTGTTAAATCTAAACCTGCACATTTTTAGAGGAAGATTGTTAATTTAAATATGAAAAGTGTAATTTTTCTTTTGTTTTTCAAATTAGCATAGATGGATAATCATGAAAATAGAGTTGGTGAAGGTGCAAAGAAATGACACTCAGAAGAACTGCTGGAGGGAACATAAACTTGTAAATTTTTTTTTTCTGACAGGCAGTTCATAAATACCCAGAACTTTTAAAACATTTATATTCATTAAATAATAATCAGAAGTGTAGAAAAATTAATAAGCAAGTTCACAATAACAATTTATAAGAATTTCCACAGATCATGTTAAAATACAGATTCCGACTCAAAATGAATGGGTGGGGCTTGGGATTCTAAGTTTCTAGTAAGCAATAAGACATTGCTGATTCTTTGAGTAGTAAAGATTTATAAAGTTCTTTATATGTAATAGAGTTTTTTTTGTGCAGGAAAGGTTTATATAGTTCTTTATATACCTTTCTGTAGAAAAAGTAATTCAAAGAAATAAAAAATTCCTGGAAAGAAATAAAACTTAAAATTAATAGTGGTAAGTTTTCAAGGTCAGAGGATAGGTTATATAATTTTCTTCTTAAAATATGTCTATATTTCTTAAAATTTCTACAAATAACATACATTATCTTTATAATCTGAAAAAAAATCTTTATAAAATGTTTTTGAAAGTACTTACTCTTCTGGATCTCCTACCTTCCCTAAAGATCACTTTTTGTGATCTTTACTATTTCTTTAATGTTCTAAAGTGGTAGGAAGCCCACTATTTGTGTCATATTTGACTTATCATGCAGAATATCACATCCCCTTCACTTGCTACTTGGATTTCAAGCCGATAAAGTCAGCCTGTGCCAAGGTTGAAGAGAAAGAAAAAATTCCCAACAGGGCATCTTGAAGGCTGTATTTCACTTTTGGGTGACCAATACCATTTCGTAAGCTTAGGGCTGGGATTAGTAGTTAAATTTAAAAATCTGAATGTAATGTTATGAGAAATTATAGTCATCAGCTTCTGGAGAGGTTTTGTGTTGTTACCCCTTTCCCATTGGAAGGAGTTATATCTTACCCTCAGTTTACTTTTCTTCCCTAAAAGAAACAAAAAGGAAAATATTAGTTTTCAATTTGGGTTTTACTTTTCTTCAGTAGATTTTATTTTAAAGAAAATGCTGTAGTTTAGAATACAGTTCACAAAAACCACGGCTATAGAAAAAATGAAATGAAAGCAATATAATTATCTTTTTTTTTTTACCTTTTCAGTTGACAAAATTTGAAAGTGATGTATTCTTTTTCAACTAGAAAGGTAGAAAGGTACATTCTCACACTTACATTTCCACACTCAAAATATAACACATATTTTTTTCCGTCCCACATTCATGGAATATAGGCATCTGCCCTTTGTTGAAGGAGTTGATTCAGGCACTGATTGAGACTAGGAAACGGTGTCTGCAGATAAGCCTTCCTCTGCTCTTCATTTCCTCTGGATCTCAGAGTTTCAGAGTTCTGTCCCTCGTGTTTTCACTATCAGTGCACTTGGGGAAATAGGGAAATGTTTTTTTTTTTTTTTTGAAGTTGGAAAAAATGTGTCTGCCCAGTGATGATAAGAATATTATATTATTATATTAATTATATTATAATATTATGTAATATATTATTGTCAATAATAATTGTACCAAAATTTATTATCATTAGTTATTATTGTCAGGTATGAGTTTCAGCAGTTTCTTTTTCTCAAACTTTTAAATGATAATCCTACTATATTTATATTTAAAAAAATTTTCCACTTTTAAGGAAAAAAGTTTTGATTCTTGAAAGGAATCAAATCAAAACAAGAGTTATTTTTGCTACATTCCCCCACATTTTCTTGTCTTATGAAAGTGATGACAATGATTTGTTGGACAGGTATTGATGAGGACTGTCTTTTGGTTCCATGTTAGCAAATCAAAACTTTCATCCCTAGAAACATGTTGAAACATGGATAAACCAACCAATCGCAAAATAACAAATACTGTATGATTCCACTTTTATAAGGTTCCTAGAATAATCAGATTTATAGAGAAAGTAGAATGATGGTTTTCAGAGTTGAGGGGTCAGGGGAAGAGAATGGAGAATTATTGTTTAATGAGTACAAATTTTCAATTTTGGAAGATGAAGAGTTATGGAGTTGGATGGTGGTAATAGTTGCTCAACCATGTGAATATACTGCATGCCACAGAAATGTACACTTAAAAAATTGTTAAGAGGGTAAATGTCATGCTATATGTATTTTCTACAATTAAAAAAATTTTGCAAATGCAAAGCACACTACCAGTGTCAATTATTTATTTTGATTATTATCATGTTAGCATTTCCACTGTACTCTTTTCCAGATGCTCTTGCAGTTGTAATCTTGTCTGTATGTGCATTTTCTTTTTCTCTGTGATGTTACTGTTATAGCTTTTTCTCAGTAATAAAAGCTACAGAAGGTAAGGTCTTTTCCTTCAAATCACAAATATTTCTCTATTCCCCAGCTCCAGCAATGCTCTCCCCTCCAAGGTGCCC